TGTGCTGTTCCTTCTTCTTCTTCCGACTACAAAACTCAGAATAAACTCACAGCTAAGGTGAATAAAGACCAGAGCGAGTCCTGTAAACGACTTCATTAACTAACAGAGAGTGAAGAAAGTCCTGCCTGTGTGCTCATGTCCACTTTCAGAGCTCCTCTGAGGGTGGACAGCGTGCTTAGCGCTCCCGAGGGGTGATTTTTGCGAGCTAATAAACTGCTCTGGGAAAGTGAGCTGGATACGTATAAAGGCTGATGTGTGAACTGAAGTTTGGGGTTTAATTGCTTTGGCTGCAGTTTTTATGAAGCACATCTTAAACGTGTCCCTGCTGAGTGCGTCTGTGTGCAGGACTGACTGTCAGAACCTACATGATTGTTGTTGATATAGATTTGTTTGATTCTAGGGAGACTTTCCTCAGAGCAGCGTTGAGCTCAGTGCTGTATAATAATAATATCAGTAAACATAACAACATGCAACAACTAAAATCAATCTTGTTACATTGACTTACATTAAAATTAAAGAATGTTTTATCCTCCTAAAATAAAAACAATTACACAGCGCACCTAACTAATCAAACGTATTTATACAGTACTTAAGAAGGTTTGGAATTTGGAACCAGTTCTGTACAGAACCGTTTGCATAAATGCACAAGACCCAGAACGACACCTAGGAAATTACCAGGAGGGCTGGTGTGTGAAAAGAGGCCGACACGTTATCCTGAAATACAGCGATGTTGAACACAGCTGAAGGTGTCTGTGTAGTTTCTCACACACAAATACACACACAGACACACACACACATATAAACACACACACACATATAAACACACACACACATAAACACACACAAATACACACACACACACACACACACACATATAAACACACACACACATAAACACACACACACATATAAACACACACACACATATAAACACACACACACATAAACACACACACACATATAAACACACACACACATATAAACACACACACATATAAACACACACACACATATAAACACACACATAAACACACACAAATACACACACACACACATATAAACACACACACATAAACACACACACACACACAAACAAATACACCCACACAAATACACACACACACACACACACATATAAACACACACACACATATAAACACACACATAAACACACACACACACACACACACACATATAAACACACACACATAAACACACACAAATACACACACACACACATATAAACACACACACATAAACACACACACACACACACACAAACAAATACACCCACACAAATACACACACACACAAATACACATATAAACACACACACATATAAACACACACACACATATAAACACACACACACATAAACACACAAATACACACACACATAAACACACACAAACACACACAAATACACACACACACACACATATAAACACACACACACACACACACACACACAAACAAATACACCCACACAAATACACACACACACACATAAACACACACACACACACACAAATACACACACACACATATAAACACACACACACACACACAAATACACACACACACATATAAACACACACACACACACACAAATACACACACACACACATAAACACACAAATACACACACACATAAACACACACAAACACACACAAATACACACACACACACATATAAACACACACACACACACACACACACAAACAAATACACCCACACAAATACACACACACACACATAAACACACACACACACACACAAATACACACACACACACATAAACACACACACACACACACACAAATACACACACACACATATAAACACACACACACACATATAAACACACACACACACACACAAATACACACACACACATATAAACACACACACACATATAAACACACACACACACACACTTTCTACGCGCTTATCCTTCTGGGTCACGTGGGGTGCTGGACCCTATCCCAGCGGTCTCTGGGCGGAAGGCAGGAAACACCCTGGACAGGTCGCCAGTCCATCAAAGAGCTCTTTAAAGTTTCCTTTTTAGTTTAGTTTGTCGAGTGAAAACATCAGAGGAGTATTTCTGAGTTTGTATTCCAGCATGAATACAAACAAACAGGGACAGGAAATAAAGTATCGTGTGTGAACTTCATTTTCTATCCTTGTTTGTTTGTATTCATGTGTTTTCTATCAAATTAATTCAAACTGTGCTTCCACAATAAAAACTATTAATAAAACATCAAAGTATTCAGAGCTTAGATATTAACAAGGATGATGTTCTGATCTATTTAAACCCAAAGCATTAATAGAGATAGTAATAATCTAAATATATACGTAATCATCATTTCTAGGGGGGAGTATTTCTATTGGGAGGAGTCTGTCCCAAACCCTAACCCTACATTTTTTGTTTTTTAAAGGTCTTTTCATTTATTTTAAAGTGAAGTTGAAAGATTTAAGTTTAATTTTTAAATAAAAAATGCTGTAGTAGTAAAAACATTCAGTACATTTTCGTGTAACTACTGAAACACAAAGCATTCTAATCAGTAGGCGGAGCCTTATTTTAGCCACGCCCCTGCATTTCAGAGCAGGAAGTGAGGCTGCATCCCTGTCCCTCATGGCCACATGGTGAGCAGTTAGATCCTGCTGTTTTGAAGTAAATGAGTCCCAAAGTCTGAAAATCAGTGTGGAACATTAAGAATCGCCATATTTTCTGCAGTTCAGCACTTTTTAGTGTTTTAATGTAAAATACGATGATTTTCTGTGTGAACAGCTGTTCAGAGTTGTGTTTGCTGGTCTGTACTGGCTGAGTTTCTGAGCTCAGAATGAGCTGAAACAGACGCTACTGAAACAGACACTACTGAAACAGTCACTACTGACACAGTCACTACTGACACAGTCACTACTGAAACAGACACTACTGAAACAGTCACTACTGACACAGTCACTACTGAAACAGACACTACTGAAACAGTCACTACCGAAACAGACACTACTGAAACAGTCACTACTGACACAGTCACTACTGAAACAGACACTACTGAAACAGACACTACTGAAACAGTCACTACTGACACAGTCACTACTGAAACAGACACTACTGAAACAGTCACTACTGACACAGTCACTACTGACACAGTCACTACTGAAACAGACTACTGAAACAGTCACTACTGACACAGTCACTACTGAAACAGACACTACTGAAACAGACACTACTGACACAGTCACTACTGAAACAGTCACTACTGAAACAGACACTACTGACACAGTCACTACTGAAACAGACACTACTGAAACAGTCACTACTGACACAGACACTACTGAAACAGTCACTACTGAAACAGACACTACTGACACAGTCACTACTGAAAGTCACTACTGAAACAGTCACTACTGAAACAGACACTACTGACACAGTCACTACTGAAACAGACACTACTGAAACAGACACCACTGAAAGTCACTACTGAAATAGACACTACTGAAACAGTCACTACTGAAACAGTCACTACTGAAACAGACACTACTGAAACAGTCACTACTGACACAGTCACTACTGAAACAGACACTACTGAAACAGTCACTACTGACAAAGTCACTACTGAAACAGTCACTACCGAAACAGACACTACCGAAAGTCACTACTGACACAGTCACTACTGAAACAGACACTACTGAAACAGTCACTACTGAAACAGACACTACTGACACAGTCACTACTGAAACAGACACTACTGAAACAGACACCACTGAAAGTCACTACTGAAATAGACACTACTGAAACAGTCACTACTGAAACAGTCACTACTGAAACAGACACCACTGAAACAGTCACTACTGAAACAGACACTACTGAAACAGTCACTACTGAAACAGTCACTACTGAAACAGTCACTACTGACACAGTCACTACTGAAACAGACACTACTGAAACAGTCACTACTGACACAGTCACTACTGAAACAGACACTACTGAAACAGTCACTACCGAAACAGACACTACCGAAAGTCACTACTGACACAGTCACTACTGAAACAGACACTACTGAAACAGTCACTACCGAAACAGACACTACCGAAACAGACACTACCGACACAGTCACTACCGAAACAGACACTACTGAAACAGACACCACCGAAACAGACACTACCGAAACAGTCACTACCGAAACAGACACTACCGAAACAGACACTACTGAAAGTCACTACTGAAACAGTCACTACTGAAACAGACACTACTGAAACAGTCACTACTGAAACAGTCACCACTGAAAGACACTACTGAAACAGTCACTACTGAAACAGACACCACTGAAACAGTCACTACTGAAACAGACACTACTGAAATAGTCACTACTGAAACAGACTACTGAAACAGTCACTACTGAAACAGACACTACTGAAACAGACACTACTGAGACAGACACTACTGAAACAGACCCTACTGAAACAGTCACTACTGAAACAGACACCACTGAAACAGTCACCACTGAAACAGACACTACTGAAACAGTCACTACTGAAACAGACTACTGAAACAGTCACTACTGAAACAGTCACTACTGAAACAGACTACTGAAACAGTCACTACTGAAACAGACACTACTGAAACAGACTACTGAAACAGTCACTACTGAAACAGACACTACTGAAACAGTCACTACTGAAACAGACTACTGAAACAGTCACTACTGAAACAGACACTACTGAAACAGACTACTGAAACAGTCACTACTGAAACAGACACTACTGAAACAGACACTACTGAAACAAAGTAAAGGTTGGTAGAGTTATGATTGTTTTGGAATGCTCAGTCATCAGTTTTAATAAAATAATCATAATTAAGGTTTGGAGTCACTCAGAGCAAAAGGGTTTTAGTCTGAAGTCTAAGATCAGTTGAAGTCCTGAATGTGGTTCAGCGCTGACTCTGACTCAGTTCATTAGAATGTCTAAATATGCATATATACTGTGTGTGCAGATCTGCGGAGGGTGGAGGGGAGCAAGACTGGAGTGTCTCCTGATGAATCGTGCTCCGAGTCGGAGGAGCTGGCAGAAGATCAGCACCACAGTGATGTGGAGGAGGGAGAGGACAACACGCAGGAGGACTGTGATGAGGACCTGGTGAGTGCAGTAGGAGATGATGATGATGATGATGATGATGATGGAGTGAATGATAAGATTAGTTAGATGTGATAGGAGCAGAGATCAGATCAGCAGTGAAAGGGTTAATCCTGTATGAGGAAATAACATGTGTGTTGATTTTGACACGTCTTTCCACAAATCACCTCCGAGCACACGCTCCACCACATCATCACCAGCATGTGTGAGTTCAGCCGCTGAATCACTTCTCAACTCTTCTCTCTCCAGGAAAACAACCCCTGTTCAGAGTCGGACCCCGTCCTTCAATAAAAGGCAAGTTTTAGAACTTGGCTCTAGATAATCGGCCTCAGTCATGTGGGGTTTTATTAGCTCCACGTTCCAAAGAGGGAATTGAGTCATTCCCGCTTAAAATAGGCTGATGGTAAAAGTACAAAATATATTGTTAACAGCAAATCACTGGTCAGTGAAGTGAAGCCAGCAGGGATGTTTTCTCTAAACTGTTCTATCTTCACGGCTCTGAGCTGCTGTGGATGTTCTTCATCACACACGTCCTGCAGGAAACACACAGCAGCCACGCCCACAGGTCCAAATCAACGGCCTCGTTTTAGTCACGACTCTCCACATGAATTACTGCAGAAGGAACCAATAACAGGTATCGGTATCAACGGGTATCAGTAGTAATGGGTATTGATGGGTATCGGTGTTAATGTTATTATTATTGATGGGTATCAGTATCAATGACTATCAGTAGAAATGGGTATTGATGGGTATCAGTACTGATAGGTCTCATTATCAATGGGTATTGATAGTAATTGGTATCAATATTGATAGTATTGGTATTGATGAGTATCAGTATTGATGTGTATTGGTATTGATGAGTATCAGTATTGATGTGCATCAGTAGTAATGAGTATTGATATGAATGGGTGTTGGTATTAATGGTATTATTATTGATGGATATCAGTATTGATGAATATCAGTATTGATGAGTATCAGTGTTGATGAGTATCAGTATTGATGGATATCAGTATTGATGGATATCAGTGTTGATGAATATCAGTATTGATGGATATCAGTATTGATGAGTATCAGTGTTGATGAGTATCAGTATTGATGGATATCAGTATTGATGAATATCAGTATTGATGAGTATCAGTATTGATGAGTATCAGTATTGATGGATATCAGTATTGATGAATATCAGTATTGATGAGTATCAGTGTTGATGAGTATCAGTATTGATGGATATCAGTATTGATGAGTATCAGTGTTGATGAGTATCAGTATTGATGGATATCAGTATTGATGGATATCAGTATTGATGAATATCAGTATTGATGAGTATCAGTATTGATGAGTATCAGTGTTGATGAATATCAGTATTGATGGATATCAGTATTGATGAGTATCAGTGTTGATGAGTATCAGTATTGATGGATATCAGTATTGATGAATATCAGTATTGATGAGTATCAGTATTGATGAGTATCAGTGTTGATGAATATCAGTATTGATGTGTATCAGTATTGATGAGTATCAGTATTGATGTGTATCAGTATTGATGTGTATCATTTAAGGCATTTGGCATTAAAAGATATATTGGGGTTGTTTTTGTCTCCCTGTGTGGAGCTACGTGATGCTGCAGCTGCAGCCAGACTTAGTTTGATGAACTGTACTGACCTTGAAACACAGCCAGTGACTGTAGGCTCTCCAGCCATCACATGGATTTGTTTAGTTACATAACTGTTTTCATTTAATGAAGTATTGATCAGATAAAACAGGCGATGGATGGTAACTGTACAAACTTATCTTCGTCCAGCAGAGAGCAGGAAATTAAGACAACACATTGACACACATAAAATCAATACTTATTCTAATATTAATGTTTTTATGAGGAAATAAACACTGGACAGATAAAAAACTTATCATCTGTCTGTAGAGAACTTTGAGCTGCCACCAGCATGAAAAGTGCTCTGTAAATAAAGATTATTATTATTATTATTATTATTATTATTATTATTATTATTATTGTTGCTTTTGCACTTTTTGCATATGTAGGACTGTTCAGAAGTTTGGAATTACTGTTTTCACTAATATAAAGCTAATCTGGTTTCAGATTAGTGTATAATCTGTGTAAAGTGACTGTAATCTGCTGGTAATCTGCCGCTAAACATCTTCATATCAGGAATGAAGCTCTGATTACATTTATATCCAGAACTCTGAAATCTCAATATTGGTAAAAATGAATCTAAACAGATAAATACAGTATACTATTTCTCATATAATATCTTTATTGTTCATAGAATGTTTAGAATACTGAATATCTAAAAATTAGCTTTGGTGAGTAGCGTATTATAGTTATATCCACACTGTATGAGTTATTAATATAACAAACGACTCTGAACAGCAGTGTGTGGTTTGTGAAATGGATACTGAGCTGAGGGTCCAGTACGCTGTGGTGTGTGGGGTCTCAGGCAGGTCCAGAGGGTTAATTGGTTGTTGTTCTGTCGGGGGGCACGCCAGGCTGAGACCGAGTTTATCTAAACGTAGGGAAATCTCTCTAATCCATCTTCAGAACCGCTGCCCGGCGCTGGACATGGAGGAGCTTTTCTCTGAATAAACGCGTGAGAGCAAGAGATCTGCTCCTGATCTGCGCGTGTTATTTGTAGAGCGCCACCTTGTTTTTACGGCTGAGTGCTGCGGTCACGGTATCTGAGCTCCTCATCCTCCACTAACAGCTCTGTTTGCCCTGCAAATGCCAGATTAATGAGCCCTTCAGGAGAACCGAGCCAGGCTGTTTATGTAGGACTGACTTCAGCGCAGAACCAGCGTCTCCTGAAGTTCACGACTGATTTGTCTGGATCTAAAGGCTGTTGAGGTGAAAGTCTGTTCCTTCACAGAGGCAACCTGCACTGAAGATGGTTCTTCAAGTGTTCTCTAATAAAGAAAAAGGTTCTATATAGAACCAGAAACACTCAAAGAATGCATGGTTAAAGTGTTCTTTGCATTATGAAAGGGTTCTTTGCTATAAAGAGTGTGATTTTAGGAGCACTTTCAATCAGAACAAGAGGTGATCAGGTTTAAAATGATTTCAGTATAAAAATATTTTACTTTCTACACAGCTTTTTTACTGTTTCTTAATAAATATCATGATGTAGTTTATATTCCTCTCTAATGAAAACAAACATGAATAAGTATAAAATAAATAGAACTGCAGTCGATAAAAGTGCGGATAGAGTCACACAGTGGAGATAAAGAAGTGCAGGTTGAGTTTCAGGGATTTGGTCTAATGGGCTAATATTAACTCATTAAGAGCTGATTTAATCTCATCCCTCACTGTAACTGTAGCTGCTTTAGCTTCATCACTGCAGTCGTCTGCACTCGAGGGAGACGATATCATAATAAAATAATAGCCTTTTTTGCAATAATGGCATTAAACCAGTTAATTATAATATTAGTCTGATTATAATTATAATATTAGTCTGCTAATCTGATTAGCAGTGATTAGACCAGCACAGATGATTCTTTAAATAAATGATTGACATCATTTTTTGCAAAGAAACAAAGTTCTGGACTCATAAATTTGGGTAACAATTTCAACTGGAGCAGTGAATTTCCTGAAGATAATGCAGAGCGATTGTGTGGTTGCTAAGGTGTTAATTAGCGGTTGCTATGGTATAATGATTGGTTGCTAAGGTGTTGACAGGTGGTTGCTATGTTATAACGACTGGTTGCTAAGGTGTTGACCGGTGGTTGCTATGTTATAACGACTGGTTGCTAAGGTGTTGATAGGTGGTTGCTATGGTATAATGATTGGTTGCTAAGGTGTTGATAGTAGGTTGGCATGGTGTACAGGGTGTTTACTGAGTGGTTGTTAGGGGGATGCTAAGTGGTTGCTATGTATTGGTAAAAATGAACAGGACTCTGGGAGAAACGAGGGATGAAAAAATGACACATCAATAATTAATAATCTTGCGCGTTGCTTTTCTTTGCACACTAATCACTAATTATAATCACTTTGCGGAGGTTTAATTTGCTAAAGTCTAATTAACCCCAAAGATAGAGAGGTTAGTAACCTGAAGACAGCAGGAGGGTTAAGTACAGTGTGAATTAGGTCCTGTGTTTACATTTAAAATCAGTTCATTAATGAGTGAGATTCTTCAGGTGACATTCAGTTTAGACCACATCGGACACAACATAGAATGGAACAGTGGCATTTCTACATTAGGGGCCGGGGGGGGGCTGGTCCCACCAGATGTTGCTGTGGAGCAGATCAATAATTCAGTATATCAACTAATATATATTTTGTAACTAACGTTGTTGCATGTTTATCACGTATGACTATGGTAGGGCTGTCAGATACATCCCAAATATCCTCCTGTACCTGTTGTGTAAATGCCAGTAGGATCCCTATTTCTCCTAGCACTCTTTGTTTGGTGAGCATGGGGTTGGTCAGCACTCGTCTGACCAAGTGATCAGTTAAAACACTCTGTGTTCAACACGCTCTGCTCTGATATGTTGTTTGGATGTGTATTTGCAGACCACAGTGATCGTTTACTGCTGGATAACTCTGAGTTTGTAATGTGATGCTGTATAACCAGGTTTTGTGAGATCTAACGTCGTTATCATATCACTCATATTCCCGTCTCCACTTCCACCAACTCCTGCACCGTTATGGTAATTTGTGAATGTGTGGTTTCATTGATTAGTGCGTTTGTTTGGATCAGATTTGTGTGTAGTTTCACGGGTGAGTCACTGCTGCCCCTACAGTTTATTGTGCACTGGGATGGAACCCGAGCTGGTTCAGTTCCCATTCCCACTTCAGTCTTATTTCTGATGAAGAATGTAAGACAGATTGTTATTTTATCATTTTATATTCAGCTAACTAAATTTTATGCCAGCCACAAATCATTTACAAATAAATTTCAACTAAATTGAAAAAACATGGATATTTAAGTTTTTATATGTTATTAAGGTTTTTCATGATAAGTATTTTACTTAATAGAAGTTCAACTTAAACGGTTCTTTTGCAGCACCAAACAAAGAACTCACACTTTTTTTCAACACATCCAAGTTTGACTGTGCTCAGCGTATCAAATTCCACTAATTCCAGGAAACTGATCCGGGAATGTCAGTGATTTACTGCACACATTTTCGTCCTTTTGACTTCAATTTGAGAAAATATTTCTAGTAACCTGTTCAGACTTAAATGGTGACTCAGGCAAAATATAAGCACATGTGGAGACTAAAAGAAGTCCAGTGTTTTTCCTCTCTTTTCTTCTTTCTTTTCTTTTTGTCTCACTGCTGCTGTTGGTCTCTCCACAGTGCGCAGCAGCAGGAAGCTGGAAAACGGTGGACTGGAAGCTGTTTTAATGCTGCAGACTCAGCGGGAAAACACTTAAACCAGAGGAGCGCAATGAAAACTCCAACATCAGCTGTCAACCCGGCGGACAGCTCAACTAGCTCTCCGGGGAGAGGGTGGAGAGGTGAGCCCCCCCACACCTCCCAAAAACCAGGAACACATAAAGCCCAGCAGCTCCTGACTGACAAGCAAAAAATCCCAAAAAGCAACAAGACGAATTTCATAGACGTCCCGCAAACGCCTCCCTACAGGACACTGTAAACTTTTCAACGTGTAAAAAGGACCTTTTTCCTTTCTTTCTATCTTTCTTTCTTTCTTTTTTACCCCTTATATGAATGACCCCCCCCCCCCACACACCTTTACTTCCTCTCTTCTCCTGTTGTGTCTTTTGTGCATCTATTTTTGCTTTATTTATATGATGATTATCTGAAGAAAAAAACAATGTTTGGTTACATTTCCTTTTGCATCAGCTTGCACTTTCAAGGCTGCAAGAGGTGTTTACAGACGTGAATAAACTCTGATCACTTGTGAACAGTTTGTTCTCGCTCTGATTTGTCTGTTGAGGAAGTTGCCAACAAAACGACTCCAAAGCAACGTTTACGCTCAGCCTGAGAAAACTGACCTTAACGGTTCTATTTAAAGGAGTTATTTTCCATCAAAACCCCGTTATTATCCAAAACACTTTCAGGAGGAACCTTCATTGAGCTGGTGAAGTGGGAGATTATTCTCCTCTCAAGGACCGTAGAACTGTAGCCCAAACAAACCGCAAGTCCAAAAAAGTGCATGAGAAACGCTAATAAAAACACAAAGCAGTGATCAGGAAATTCTGTTCAAACTGTACTAAATTGAAAACAGCACAAGTAAAATAATATTTGATGTTTTACCTTATGGTTTTTGTTTGCGCTCTCCCACAATTGATGCCTCTAAAAAAGTTTGGAGCCTGTTTATCCCTGTGTTATATCATCTTTCCTTTAACAGCACTTAGTAGTCATTTGGGGACTGAAGACACAACTGATCCAGATCTGAAAGCAGCAGTTCAGTTATACAAGTCTTCAGCTGTGCAACCATGCAGGGACTTCATCGTCATATATTGTGCTTCATCACTGTTCTGTGGTTTGTGAATTATTAATCTGGTATAACGCAGCGTCCTCGGTGAAGGTTGCACCTCAGGGATCAATTCTGGGGCCTCTGATTTGTACTGTATATGTTAATAGTCTTCGTCATAATGTGCCAAATGCAAGTTTTCATTATTATTCTGATGATATTGTCACCTACCGTTAAGCAACTAATCAAAACCAAGTTTATAAGATTATTTTAATATTATACAACACAGACTTTGTAGTCTTAAACAATGTTGTGTACAATTTTAAGGAAAACACCCTCAAACTCTCCACCCATCAAAGTGAAATGTGGTTGAAAATGTGTCTATATACAAATATCTTGGTTAAGTATTAGACGGTTCTTTAACATTTGAGCCTCATCTCACATCAGATAAAGAAACTGAAGATGAAAGTGTGATTTTATTTTAGGAATAAGTCTTGTTTTTCCACTGAAGCCAAAAAGGAACTAGTTTCTGCCACATTTTTACCAGTAATTAATGACATTTATATGCACACATCGTTGTTCTGTTTGTGCACATTAGACACTGTTTATCATGGAGCTTTTAGATTTATTACTAACTGTCGGCCGATTTCTCTCCACTGTGTTCTTTTACAAAAGAGCAGCTCTGTCCTCACTGACCACACACAGACTGATTCACTGGTATATTATAACTTATGAATATATACTTGGTTTATTACCTTCTTCTCTGTGTAATTTTGTATATCAAAAAGGAATCAGGAATTCTGATCAGCGCTCTAAAACCTTAGGAATATTTCCCACTGTACACACTGTATTAGGAAGATAAGCTTTTAGTTATGCTGGACAGTCTGTCTGGAATTTGCTACAGAGAGAGTTAAAACTTCAGGAATGTGTCATTTAATAGCTTTTTAAACATTCTTCAGACAGTAGGAGTGGCTTAAATGGTTTGTCAGTGTTTTATTAACTATTAGTTAATTAATTATTAACTAGGGTTTGTTTATTGAATTTTCTTTTTTCTTTTTACTTTTTTGGAATGTGTAATTAGTTTTGTGGGAACAATTTGTTGTGTGTTGCTGCCTGTCTTGGCCAGGATCCTCCTAAAAAAGAAATCTTTAATCTCAGTAAGATTTTTCCAGGTTAAATGAAGGTAAATAAATAAATAAATATATAAAGTGCTGCACATTTTCTATAGAAGATCAGCAGGTCAGTCCCGCACCCTCAGCACACTCAACACCTTCTAAATGTCTCTTGGTGTGTCATGTTGAAATAAGCCCCTGAAAATCCCTGAAAAAGGCAGCATATACTGCTCCAAAATGTGTTCAGAGTTAATGGTTCTTTCACAGATGTGCAGGTTACCCACTAACACCCCCCCCCCTCCCGACACCATGACAGATGCTGGATTAAGAACTTTACGCTGGTAACAGTCTGGACAGTCCTTGTCTTCTTTGGCCTGGAAAACATGATGTCCATTATCTCCATAATCAATCTGAAAAGTTGACTCGTCAGACCACAATACACGTTTGCACTGAGCATCAGTCCATCTCAGATGAGCTCAAGCCCAGAGAAGTCGGCGGTGTTTCTGGATGTTGTTGATATGTGACTTCCACTGTGCAGAGTACAGTCTTAACCTGCTTTTGTGGATGCAGAGACTGACGGTATTTATTGACAGCAGTTTGTCAAAGTACTCCTAAGCTCATGTGGTAACCGCCATCACAGAAACATGCCAGTTTTTAGTGTAGTGCTGTCAGAGGAGGCACAGCATTCAGTTGGGCCTTTGTTGCCCTTTTCACACAGAGATTTTTCTTTTGGTGATATTATGAACTGTAGAGGGTGAAATACCTAAAATCCTTGCAGACGCTTGGTGGAGTATAGTATTTCTTAAACTGTGGGATTGTTTGTTGTAGTATTTTTTGGGTAAAGTGTTGAACTTTGACCCATCCCCACTCATAAAGGACTCAGCCTTTCCTAAACGCTGCTTTTATGCCCAGGCATGATTACATCTCCTCTTTAAGATGTTTTCTGAACATTTCACAATGTTCCTAGTCTTAAATTGCCCCTGGATTTTTTGGAAAAATAAAACAATGACATTGTGAGAAAACGTATCTGGTTTCTGTACTATTTTAGTTTAAACACATGTGAAAGTGGATTTACAAATCACTGCTTTTTGTTTTTATTAGCATTTCACAACATTTTGGAATTGAGGTCTGGACTGTCTGTCTACTTTTGTGCTGAAACTGAAGATAAGGCTTTATTTAATGATCGAAATTGCTCAAAAGATGATTCAGTGTTTGACCATCGGAGCTCCAAAACCGCAGGCTCTTTTCACATAAACGGCTCTTGTGATATCCAAACTGTCCACTCCAATGTTCTTAATACCCGACAGCTCTGTTTGTTGAACTCACAGCTCCCTACAGAGCTCATTCATCATGCGTGTAATTTCGATAATTACAAGATGATGTTAAAACAGCGGTCAGCCGAGGACACGGACGGCATCTGTCCACAACAACACAGGAAATCAGAAATCCATCCTGGAAGAACATCAGCAGTGGCCCCTCGAATGATCAAATGAGGTGATCAGTAATCAACCAAAACATCCAGAGTGAACTGAAAGTTCAAAAATCTAATATGGTCTGAAAAAGGCATCTGGGGTGAATCAGAGATTTGAGATGTTTGAGGTTTGAGACCCGCATACAGTTTCAGTTCTATAGTGCATTTCACAGAAATCCAGGCTAAACTGAGCAAACCAAGCTGGACAAAAACTCCCTTGCAGCAAGAAGAAGAACCACTGAGGGGAACCAAGACTCAAAGTGGAACCCGTCCTCCTCTGGTCAAAACAATAACACAACAATAATGCAATAAGACTTAATAAAGAAATGAATAACGGGTCATTAATGGGTAATTCCACACCAGCTCACCCAGCAAAGACTCCTGTTTAACTCTGAAGATGGAGCAGGTGATTCATTTAGAAACCTTTTTTGTTATAATTGTTATATAGAACCATTTTCTTTACTTAAGGATCCTTGAATAACCATTTTTTGTAAGAGTATAATTAATATATCAGCTCAGTTCAGCCTTTCTGTAAACAGTTAAACTCAATATTAAAAATTCATAATTCAAAATTGACTTGGATTCAAAACATTTTTAATGTTTATGGGAATTTAACAGATGTTTTTGCTGAACTATTTCATGTTAATCCATAACGAGACCGGCCAGGCCGCAGGACAGTGGTTTGGACTCTAATAATAATAATAAATATACAGTACTAAGTGATGAATAGAGAGATGCAGTGACCCTGACAGTGACCCTGATCACCGTCACTTGCTGGACGCACTGTAAAGTTCCTCATCCTGTGTATAATGAGGGTTATTAAAGGTAAAGTCTGCAGACTGAGAGGTTCCCACAGCAGCCGTAATCCGTCACACCCGCTTTCAGCTTTAATGTGCGTCTTTATCTGGATTTTCTGTTCAATTTCCAGGTCTGACCTCTCTGACCAGGAAACATAAAAACAGCTATTAGAGCCACAACAAATCACCATCACAGAGCTCATTAGCACCTCCGCACACCGGGACCTACGTCCTGTACTAACACGAATCTCTGGGTCCTGACTGAGCGCCAGGGTAATCAATCACTTCACACTCATAATCAATCTTCATTTCCAGAATCAGCTCAGAATTACTGACTCGCTCTGATCACAGTGAGACCACAATAAGAAAACAGTGTCTGGTCACGCTCAGTGTATCAGACTCGGTCAGTGACTGGAGAGTTTTTACTGAACTGGGAAAATCATTATGGCCAAGTTATTGTTTTACATCTTTTATTCCTTTTTTTTCATTAATTATGTTTTTTTTGTTTTATTCTTATTTGGTCTGTTATTTTTGAAGTTACTATACTGTTGCATTTTAATGGTTTATTGATTTTTTGTGATTTTGTACTATTAAGTTTACTATTATGATAATTATTACTTTTTTAGCTTTTAATGTTTTTACTATCCATTTTTAAATCCCTGCTCTCTGTATTGGCTACACTGTGAATGAGGGTCTCTTAATGTACTCTGAGTTTAAATAAAGGTTGATTGACTGAAGAAATGCTACCTTGGTGAGTGAAATCATCTTAAGTCTAGTTAATCTATCTAATCTTTCTCATTATGAAACTACGGTTAGAATATTACAGGATTATTTTCTCTATTTGCAGACATTACTGACTTATTTTCAGTCATTTTATTTTGTAAAACTGTCACTAATTGATCATTTTCAGTTATTTCTTGACTGGTAAAATGTTTAGCCAATAGAATATTATAATTCCACTAGTTTTTTTTGACTTGGGACAAGCAAAAACATCTAGATATAAATTGAATAATCTTACAACAATCTGATGATGACAAACACTGGGAATATTTTGTCGCTGTCCAAAGCAAAACAAGTATCTCCATTTTTGTCAATTTATATTTTTCTACATCATTTAAAAAATGTCATCATGGTTGGACCAATAGAAATACTCCAAAATCATTTGGCATTTGGAACAAAACCTTTTTAGATTAGCCTCTGCCCTGTCCTCAGTTACTATTTTGGAGTTTTGGAGACGTTTTTTTTTTTTGGACAGTGAAGACTAAATTTAAGATTATTATTATTATTATTATTATTATTATTGCATTAATAGTCTTGGTAAATGAAATGATCTTAAATCTAATAATAATTCTCAGGTTGAGATTCTTGTCAGCTTATTTTCAGATTGTTCACTTATTTGTAATTGTTAAGTAATTTTGTTGAGTAAAATTATCACTTTATTTCCAGATAATTTTGCTGGTTTTGAGTATATTTCTTACAACAAGAAAATGATCTGCCATATAGAAAGATAATTTGACTTGTAAAATCAGTTAAAACAAGTAATAATCCTGCAAAATGTGAGTGCAGATGACTTTATGTAGCTAGAACAATACAGTATATCAGAAATATGAGCTGTGGAAATTATATCGCAACTAGGTATGTAAAAGT